TACTGTGTCCTGGACTGGCGAGGAAGCCCTAGGCCTTTGCCCTTGCTGGTGTATCCATCCAACGCCTTCACCCCCATCTTTGCTTTGTAAGACCCAGCTTAGATTCCACGTCCTCCATACAACCTTACAGCTCTTCCCCTCGCCCCCTCTTCAGGAGCATTTTTCCAACTTCCATGTTCCCATCACAGTTTCTTTGTCTTCAATGATGGCACTTCTTTCACTGTATTCAGATCAGTTGTGTCTCTTCTTAACTGAGATGTCAGTGTACGAAGGAGAAAGGTCCATGACTTCGGCACCTTGTAGCTTTTGCCATCCCTAGAACAGTACTCCGAACTGTTGTATTGCATCACGTTCTTAAAAACTTGTAAAGCTGTGCAACCTTCCAGTGCTCATGCTCTCTGCTGAAGGAGAGTCTGTTGGGTACTGAGCTTCCCGTGGCTTGGACCGATTCAGCCACTTTCAGAGGCTTCCAAACTTCTGGCTGTTTGGCATCATCTAAACACAGAAACCAAGGGGATGGCTCCCCCCCCCCCCCGCCCCATATTCATAGTATCACGAGATTTTAGAGCCAGGAGGAACCTGATAGAGTAAACTCAAACTACAGAGAAGAGAATTGTGAACCCAAACTAAATGACTGTTCCAAAGCCACTCGGGGGTGAGTGACCCAGGTGTGTGGGGAGCCAGTGATAGCTCTACATGGTTCTGCCCTGGCTGATGGCTCAGTTGGTTGGTGCATCATCCCGTACAACAAAAGATTTCAGGTTTGATTCCCGGTCAGTGTGGGAGGCAGTCAATTAGTGTTTCTCTCCCTAGCTCTGTCTATAAAGAAAAAAATAATTCAATAAAACATCTCCTTGGGTGAGGATTAAAAAAAATATATCTCCATGGCCCTGTGTACTGAGCCTTCCTGCCCGAAGCCTTGGGTTCCACGTGAGATGTCACAGTCAGCTGGTGCTTTCTGCCCTGTGTTGCGATTGGCTGGCTTTCTGTATGTAAACACTGTCCGGTGACAACAATCCCATTAATACTCTTTGCTAAAAGGTAATATCAGGGGGGTAGAATTAATAAAAGTGGACTGGGAGCTGACCTGGGGTGGGGGTGCACTGGGAGCAATGCTAGCAGGTCATTAGCCATCGCCTGGCTGACGTTATGGCAGCTGCTGAATTCAGTCAAGTTCAGACCCTTAAAAAGAGTGGAAAAAAGAAAGCACATACTTTCCAGGGCCCGGGCACCGCACAGCAGGGCCAGCTGGGTGCAGCGCCGTGGCAAAGGGATCTCTTCAGTCTCAGAAATATGAGCCTGAGCTTGCACACGGGGAGGGGAGTGTGGCAGCAACTGGACCTGATTGGCATTAACGTTTCTGGGCTCATGGTGCCCGAAGTTCTACTAGACTCAGCTCCTATGGGAAGCCCATGAGTATCTAAGGAAAGAACCAGCCCTCTGAGTTGACAGGAGGAACAAGCTGTGTGTGTGTGTGTGTGTGTGTGTGTGTGTGTGTGTGTGTGTGTCTAAAGGCATTGGACAGGTCAGCAGGCTTTGGAAGGGGAACTCTTGGTTTTCTGTATGATTGTGTACTTCCTCTTGTCCAGAGTTAGCCAGTTAAGGAAATAAAGCGCAATTCGGGTTTCCAAGTTGGAAGCCTGATTAATCTCTCTGCCAGTTACATATGGAAATAAATCAGTAAATGGTCCATCTGGGACGACACTACTGCAGAGATGATAAATTATCGCCATCGTATACGTCTGTGTTGCTGAAGACTGAGCTGTGCTCCCCAGGCGAGGCTGAAAGATAACTGGATCCCCCATCGTGGTCAGGAATGAAATTAAAAACAAAATCACAAGTAAAAATATCGCCGTGAAGCGTTTCATGGGAGAGTGCTTTGGTTGATGCCAAGTTTGCTCCTCAGAAGTGCTATATCTGCAAATATTTAAAAGGAGTCTCAAGGGCATAAGAAACATTTTATTTCTATATTTTCAAAGGACAAACATAGTAACAAGTGTTAATTAGTACCCAAATGTCCCAGGGAGTAGGATAATCCTATACTTCTGTGCCATATTGCAACTTTATCATTTTCACAGCAACTTCATGTGTATTTTCTTATTTAAATTTCAAAGAAGTTGGGGCAAGCCAGTGCCTCTGTTTCTTTTCTTTTTTAAAATATATTTTATTGATTTTTTTTGCAGAGAGGAAGGGAGAGGGATAGAGAGTTAGAAACATCAATGAGAGAGAAACATTGATCAGCTGCTTCCTGCACACCCCCACTGGGGATGTGCCCACAACCAAGGTACATGCCCTTAGCCGGAATCGAACCTGGGACCCTTCAGTCTGCAGGCCGATGCTCTATCCACTGAGCCAAACCGGTTAGGGCCAGTGCCTCTGTTTCTTGATTGAGGAAACACTGAGGTTTAGGGGGTTGAATGCCTTGCCCATAATGACTCAATGGCCAAATGGCAGAGCTGGGATGAGCGACCAGATATCACCAATACTGAATCCAGCTTCGTTTCCATCAGAGCCTTGTGTGACATCACACACATTTTCAGTATCCCATCATTCATTTGGCAGCATCAGGAAAGAAAGCATTCCATTTATGTTAGTTTTCTAGAAGCAAATACCATACCTTCTTTAAAAAAATTTTTGTTACTGATTTCAGAGAGGAAGTGAGAGGGAGAGAGGGATAGAAACATCAATGATGAGATAGAATCATCGATTGGCTGCCTCCTGCATGCCCCACACTGGGGATGGAGCCCGAAACCCTGAATGGGATTTTAACCATGACCTCCTGGTTCATAGGTCAATGCTCAACCACTGAGTCATGCCGGCTGGGCAAGCCATACCTTCTGGATCATGAAAATTATTTTTCTCTACTTGGAGATCTTGAGTATCGGTTTAACATTTTTAACATGATTTCAATATTTTTAAATTGAGGTATAATTGACATATGACATATATTAGTTTCTGGTGTATGACATAATGATCTGATATTTGTATATATTGCGAGATGATCATAATAAGTCTAGTTAACATTCATTACCTTACATAGTTACAACATTTTGTATGTGCTGAGAACTTTTAAGATCTACCCTCTTAGCAACTTTCGAATATGCGATAGAATATTATTAATTGTTGTCATCGTGCTGTACATTGCATCCCCTTGACTTATTTATAATGGAAGTCTGTACCTTTTGACTACCCTCATCCATTTCTCCTCTCCAATCCTTTAACTTTTCCCTGTGACTAAGGCACACCACTATTCCCTTGAGTTGTTTTATAAAGCTAAAACCATAGATGTCCTCAGGGGCTTCTTAGGTCTGGTAAGATTCTGCCCCTTTGCAGAATGGCCTGAGGCTACAGTGACATCCTGAGTCCTGTGCCTACTTTAAAATGTTCTTTTGTTTCTTCCTCCTGGGCAAACCTTCCACAGTTGCTCCTTTAAGCTCCCTTCTAAAAAATGCAGTACAGAAAGGACAGAAAAGCAAGCTGGGTTCAGAAACCTTTGAGTCCCCTGATTTATTAGATGCCAATTTCTAAACATACTCAACAGATGCCACAGGCGCCTAGCATTTACCTGTTTGTGCTTGAAAGTGTTTTTGTCTCACCTGGATCACCTTCCACGTGTCTCCAGTATCAGCCAGACCTGGCTACTCCATGCACCCTGAATAGACTTCATGCTTGCTCCTCTCTGGGTTTTTGCTTTAGCTATTGCTTGGTCATCCTGGTCAAAATTCTGTTCAAATCTCAAGGCCCATTAGTATTGTTATTGTCTTGATGCTTTCTCCTATATGCCCCCCTCCTCACCTCCACCAGAAACAAATGTCTCCTCCGAAACCTTCTGTTCGTTACAGGAAATAATGCAGTCTGTCTGTATTTGAGTTACCTACATACATGTCTTATCTCCCACAGTGGACAATACATTTCTCCAAGGTGGCCATTCCATCATCTTCTGTCTGTGACCCTTCCATCTTCCTTCCAATTCCCAGCTCAGTACTTTGCCCTTAATTGAAGTGTAACATGCATCAGGGTAGGATAATTTTGGTTTACAACAACAGATTGGATGTCTTTGGATGGGTGGATAAATGAAAGATCAGAATCACTTGAAGGGCTTGTTAAAACAGATCGCTGGAGCCCAAATATTCAGATTCAGGTGGTCTTGGGTGGGGGCCGAGAATTTGCATTTCCAACAAACTCATGGGGATGCTCATGCTGTGATTCCAGGGACTACCATTTGGGAACCACTGATTCAGTGGATTTATTTCCTAGGATTCTCACACTAACCTCATCGGGTAATACCATTGTTTTTAGTAGACCGTCTATTGATCTGTCTTCCTTGAGGCGGAGGCCAAAAAAAAAAAAAAAAAGAAAAGAAAAGAAAAATACCTTCCATCAAATTATGATGCAATCCACCCCATGTACCAACTTTCCTATTTTGCAAGATTATGGGTTAACTGTGGCTCAAAAGCTTGCAGCCCAATTAGTGAGCTTTAGCTAGAGGGGACCTTTTCCCCCAGGAGTAGAGCCAGAGTAATTTCCTTTTACAGCAGGATAGAGAGTCCTTGAGGTTGCGCCTGTGGACCTGGCCTACCCAGGGGATGAAGGCCGGTCCACGTGGGTCAGCACTGGCCTACAATGCTTGTTGGTGCTCTGAGGTCTCTCCTTTATCTACACAAGTGTTTCAGCGGCAACCATAGTAAAATAAAGTGACCTCACAAATGTCTCAATAGCAGTTGTAGTAACAGAAGATAGTCTCACAGTGTCTATGGCATGCGTTTTCACATCTCTGGGTCCTTTTGTGCCCCGTGAGGCAGTTTCAAGAACACTCCATCATGAAAGACCCGGCGCTTCAATAAACTTGCCAAGCAACAAAGAGGTGCTGTTGCAATCGGCGCTGTCACTGAAGTGTGGCATCTTTTAGAGCCCGGCCAGAGATGGCATTCATTGTGGCTGAGAGGGTCCTCTCTCCTCCTCTGCTCTAACCCCATCTTCCTTCTGCTCCTCTCCACCAGCCACTAGAAGCATCATCTCCCAGAAGACCGCGGTTCTGGTGACAATGGAGGCTTCTCTGTCCTTCCCGTGACTGGAGCAATGCTGACCTCGGTTTCCTGGACCCATTCTGACTCAGGTAACCACAGTCGGTCTTCACCAGCTCTCTTACACCTCACAGCGACTGCACTGAATAAATGAATACCAACGCTATTCCATATGTAAATGCAGATGCCAAATTGATCGTCTCCATCAATTGGTATCCGCCCCTCTTCCTCCCAATCTTCTTAATGATCAATTTATGCAGCTGATCAGACTGGCAATGTGGTCAATCCAATTTAGGCATTAAGATAATGAAAACATCGAATCACATCTTCATTTGAAGTTTGGGTGCGTTTCATAGGCACACAAAGCAAAGGGAACCTCGCTGGGAATTTTTCGTGTGGAAACTGGATTCTACCGTAGTTCCTCTAAATCATTTTCTTTCTCGTCTGACCACATACTAGTATTACTCGAATTAATCTTTCTTATGTTATACCTTTTAATGGAGGTCGTAAGTATTATTGAGTATGGGTTATGTGTTCTCAGGTCAGATGGGGCTAAAATACGTGTTCCTGGGACAGACGTGGGGCTCACAGCTTAGCCACAGACCCAGGGCCCACCCACTCATGAGAGGGTGGCAGATGGTGTTGCCATGTGGGGCTGGGGCTGGGGCTGGGGCTGGGCAGTGATGGTAGCTCTCTGGTTCAGGGAATTGAGAGACTTTTAGGACTAGAACTGAAATAACTAGGGAAGAATCCATGGAAGAGGGAGGGCCTGGGCTGGGCTTTATCACTGTGGATCATTAGGCCAGGAGGCGGGGAGAGGAGTAGCTTGGCGCCTGGGTGGGAAGATGGGAATGAGCCCGCAGTGAGCCCAGGTAACGGGGGCCCTGGCTGCCTGGACTAGGACCCTGATTCTCACCTGCCCTGTTACGGTGGGGCCTTGGCTGGCAGCTTCCTTCAGGGACAGCGGTCATTGTCACCCCAGCCCTGGCTTTGGCTGCCACTTTGCTGGCCTTTTCTGCTTCTTTGGGTTTGTCCACACCCGGCCTCTGCCTGTCTACCTGATTATTGACTCTTCTCTTACACACCTGCACCCCTTCCCTCCAAGCTCTGCCTGGCAGGTGTGGCTTGAAAAGGCCTTGGGATGAACCAGGGATCGTGTGAGGTCAGTACCTGGTGATGCACAAGGTGCTATTCTGGGCTGAGGAGTGGAATTGACAGGTAGGGAGCATAAGCCAAGGACACGTGTTTATAAGTTGATGCCGAGAGCGTATCTAGAGAGTTCCGAAAGCTGGAAGTCAGGGGAGTCTCAGGGCTGCGTGAGGGGCCACAGTCAGGGATGGGGAGCACATGCTCTGATTAGCCCCGAGATGGCCAAGTACATGCTGCCCACGCCTGGCTCTTTTCCAGGGTTGCTCTTGGATAAAGCAGTGGCGGCTTTCGCTGGCCTGGGTCTTGAAGGTAGTGCTGAGAGTTGTCTTCTGAGGCACCTGCTCTTCCTGTCAGACCACAGGCCTCTGTCCCGCATGCTCAGGTGCTCCTGCAGCTGAATCCCGCTGACTCGGGAGCTTGGGCCTTCCTGGAGGCAGAGCCTAGATCGGCAGCCACCAGTGTGCCTGCCTGTAGCCAGTGTTCTGAGGTTCCAAGCTTCCTCCCTCTTGTGACATCTACATCTTCAAACACGGCTTCCTGGCTGCTGCAATGTGTGGGGGGAAAAGTTGAGAACACACACTCATTCTTAACTGCCTTAGCCTGGAAATGACCCAAACCAGCTTTACATCCACAGCCCATTGGCCAGAATTAGTCACATGACCCTGTCTCGCTTCCCCGAGGCTGGGAAGTAGGGCAGAGCAGAGGATTGCTTGGGGCCCCTACGGTCCCTGTAATACTGTGTCACTGGGGGAAAACCCATACTTTTTCTATGCTTGCCACGTGTTTGGTCATTATTAAAGGGTCAGGAACCCAGCCCTACAATTTTTTTCACATAGTTTATTATATTAAAAAAGATTTTTTTATTTCAGAGAGGAAGGGAGAGGGAGAGCTAGAAACATCAATGATGAGAGAGAATCATTGTTCGCCTGCCTCCTGCATGCTCCTGACTGGGGATCGAGCCCACAACCCAGGCATGTGCCCTGATTGGGAATGGAACCATGACCTTCTGGTTCCTAGGTCAATGCTCAACCATTGAGCCATACCGGCTGGGCTACATAGTTTATTAAAGGTGCAAATAAGATGTATGAAGGTGCTTTGAAAGGTATCATGAGTTGTAAAATATCTTAAGATACAATTGTTACTTAATTTCTTTATCACATCTTGAATGGCAATGGGCTGGCGTCTGGGTAGTCACACACGCCCGGGACTGTCCTAGCATTCGCCAGTTTACCCAACATAATTATCATACAGTCCTCCCTTTCACATCCAGAAACATGTAGACTGTAGATTATGTGATCACCCCAGTTTGACCCCACTGGTCATCCTTTGAGATTATTACCTCCTGTTTACTAAGCTTTTTCTAAGCATCAGACACTGTTCTAAGCTTTTGCCTCCGTTGCTTCATTCAGTCTCCAAACTTGTGAGGTAGGTACGAGTAATCTCTTTATTTTCAGACTAGAGGCCCAGTGCACAAAATTCCTGCACGGGTAGGGTCCCTAGGCCTGCCCTGCAATCAGGGCTGATCAGGTTCCCCACCTCCCTGCCTCCTCCTTCCCTAGCTCCCTCAGCGCCCTGCCGCCTCCACCACCACTGGTCGCCGCCATGTTCCACGCCACCCCCTCGTGGTCAGCGCATGTCATAGCAAGCGATCTAACTACCTGTCTCTCCATCAAACTCTCGAGGGGACACTTTGCATATTAGCCTTTTATTATATAGGATGAGGTAACAGAGGCAGAAAGAGTTGAATTGTTCATGATCACACGGCTCTCAAGGGACAGCACTCGGTTCTGATTCCAGGCCTGACGCTGTGCTCTTAGGCACGAGGTTGAGCCCTTGGCCCCATGGGGCCCGCACTTTCCTGACACAGGCTTGGGACTCTGTTCCCAGACCACAAGCTGGTGGAAGGTTACAGCCCGGAGCGGTGAGTTCAGCCTCTTAGGACCCAGACAAGCAGCGAAGATACCAGATCACCCCATGCATCTCCAGAACCGGAAAGGAGCAGGACCGGGGCTGTAGTGTGTCTCCTGACTTCCCGCCAGTCCCTTTCCGTCCCCACTCCCCTGCTGTTGACGGTGCAGCTGGCTTTAAAACGGCATGCGTTTTGCATAGGGAGAAAAGACCGCATTTAGAAATCTAGGGTGGAGTCGAACTCTAGCCAGTGAAGACTTGCCATGTGCTATGCAGTTGGTCCAAACAGGCACCCTCCCAACACAAACAGCTAGGAAAAACCAGGCTCTGTTTTCAGGAAGTTTATGTACAAATTTGTTTATTTAAAAAAAAAAAAGCCGCACCACAACCAAAGACCAGTTTTTGCTTGCAGAATAATATCAAACAAAAACCCATCGACTCACAAGCTGGTATTAATTTCCCTGGTTCCTGACCTTCCTAATCAGTGTTCAAAACCAAACCCATGGAATCAAAGGGAACAGTCTCTGAAAATGAACCAAATGTGGCAGACTCATCGATTGCGTTGCTTGCTTCAAGAACTCATCCCCTCCCTAGAAAATTAGAGATGTGGTTTCTAAATGTACAGAGAAAACAAAAACAAAAAAAATTCCACTATGAAAGAAAAAGGAAATTTCTAATTCTATCTCATAAACAATATAGGAATAACTTTAAAATATTCTGCTTTAAGCATGCATTTAATTTGTGCTCTGGGAACCAAATAATGTTGCTAAGATAAAGCATTCTAATAATGATTTATGTAAATTTATTTGTACAATGTAATGGTGTAGTTGCCTATAGCAAATTGCTTGGAATATGAAATGACATTTACGAGGTCTTTTTTGTCCTCTGAATGAATGCAATGGAGAAAATGAGAGACTCCAGGAAGCGGGGGTGGGGGGTGGGGGGTGGGGGGGAATCCATGTTCAATATGGAGTCTGATGCATCCAGAGGCAGAGTCAGCTGGACAGGGTAGAGGGTATGTAAGTAGTCAACAAACACAATTCCATATGTTTTCCTGTGATGCTCTCATTATTTAAGCCATTTTAAAAGACACACACACACACACACACACACACACACACACACACACGACAATTCCATATGTTTTCCTGTGATGCTCTCATTATTTAAGCCATTTTAAAAGACACACACACACACACACACACACAAACTTCTCAGACACCAAAGCTCTTTAAAAAAATTTATATATATATATATATAGATATAGATATAGATTTATCTTAGGAATCCTAAACTTCTCAGACACCAAAGCTCTTTAAAAAAATTTATATATATAGATATAGATATAGATATAGATATAGATATATAGATAGATATATTTCATTTCAGAGAGGACGGGAGAGGGAGAGAGAAACATTAAGCCCACAACCGGGGCATGTGACCTGACTGGGAATCCAACCTTGACCTACTGCTTCATAGGTCGACACTCAACCACTGAGCCACGCCAGCCAGGCTTTCAGACTAGCCAGTGACAGATCATCGTTCTCACGGTGCCCCGGCAAATGGGGAACTTACAACATGGGGTACACAGAGGCCAAATGCAATTATAAACTGGGCAGTTCATCTCAGTTCCCAGTTCCTTCAACGCCAAGGAAGTTATGCTTGAGTCATCCATGGGACCCAAATGTTAAACACAAAACAAAAAAGTCTCCCAAAGACTGATTCATAGGCCCACGGGGGTTTTTCCGATTGGCTGCCCGGTTAGAACCTTTGCTAAGGGCTCTAGGTGTTTCTGGGAAGCGTTTGAATTCAGTGGAAATCCCCATATATGTAACAGAGTTTCTGGACCCAACCAAGCTTGGCCTTGTTGGTGCTCAGTATTTGCCGGAACCTGTGCTGTTTGGAAAAGGTGTGGTGTTCACACCTTCGTTGCGGAAGGCATCAATTTTTTCTCAAAGTATTTTTACTATCTCACTTGGTCACTGCAGTTATGTTCATGTGGTAGGCTGAGAGTTGGTAGTCTACATACAGGGAG